TATATATATATATATATATGTATATATGTACAGTGAGTAATGCGTTGTGTTAATGTATCTGTGTATTTTATTTTATTTTGCTAGGGAGAGATATTGACATGAGTTTTTATTAGTGTTTTGGGCGTGCAGCTTACGAAAAAATGTAAATCGTTGGATAAACTACAAATAAGAGGTTATTATAAAGCTATACCGTTTGAATCAATTTCTATTTATATAAACATCCGGCGTGGTGACCAAGCGCAGATGCACCGTTTAAACCCGTGTGATCATAGTTGAAAATAAATACGTTAGGTGCTTTAATATCTGTAAGTTTTACATTTAACATTTTGGTGTGTAACTAGGCCTAGGTTTAATACTGTTTACGTTAATATCAGACCGGGTTGCCTCGTAAACAGACACGACGCTTATCTTTTTGGGTTTATCGGTTTTTATCTGCAACACGACACGTTTCTTTTTAGATATTAACACTGTTGTGAACTCATTGTGGTATTGACGTGTTTGGATAAACTGAATGTAGCCAGTGCGGCCAGAGTAAAGCGAGCAGACTGCAGCTGTCACTCTCTAGTACTGCACTAGAGCGGCTCTGCGCATGCGCGTCCAGCTCAACGATCTCCTTTTACAAGTGTTTTAAGACGGAAACGCAAAAAAAAAAACATTGTACATGGTCGCCCAACACTGTTTAAAAAGTCATTTTGACACTTTCGTTCGTTTAATATCACAGATTTAAATTTTAGAGGAATAATTGACAAATTGTATGTGTGGGGAAGGGCGATGTCTTCACGGACGCCTTCAAGGACTTCTTGAATGTCACTACTGATCCGCTTTTTAAAGGGTTTATGTGGTCTAGGTTGACGTTCTTCAGTTATGAAGTTGCTTTTAAAGTAATCCTAATGTTCTTATTTAGGCGTTTTGGCTTTTGGCCATGTAGTGAAAGAACGCGCCTCTATTTGTTAAAATAGACGTGATGTGACGTTTCTTCTAAACTGGATCATATTTCTGAGCAGTTTTCCATCAGTTTAGTTTTGCTATTCTTGACAGGTTGTCAGCATTACATTGAGATTGATGGCTTGACAGTTTGGAAGTGTTTACATGGCTGGATAGTAGTAGTAGACTGAAGTTGTTGATTAATTTTTCTCAGCTAGACCGATGTTGGCCCAGTTTCTGAAAGTGCACCTTTTAGATGGATGTGAGATAGATGCCATTGGTGTGGTTTGTGTTGGTTGGTTGCAGCTCAAGATAGTTGTGATGCTTTCAAACCAATGGAAGATGACGTTTTGTCTGCCTCTTATCAATAAAATGCTGTACTAAATCATTTAATCCGTAACTGATTAGATTATCTTCCTCTACATGTATCTTCCCTGTCAAGCCAATGGATTTGGTGCATTAAGTCCAGCAATCAGGAAAGACTACTATGATTTTTATCTCCAAGATAATCTGTTATGGCGTGAGTTAGATGTTAACATGAACATCTTTAAATTACATTGAAGGTCATTACTGTTCAATACATCATCTACAGAATTGTCCTCTCTTTAAGTTTAGTCAAATTACACCAGAAATGTTCTCAGCGTATAAAAATGAGCAATTTAGCAGTATTGTTTGTGATGATGCACGATGGCACCTTTTTTTCTTTTTAGGTTTTAGATTAGAATTTGTATGTTATTTCACAATTTTTGCTAACCTAGGCTATTTGCCTTTGTGTGGGTCCTGTGTGTGCTTTTTTTTTTTTTTTTAAATGAGCAAGGGTAGCTGTCAGTGTTGTCATCTAAGCCTCTCGTCCTCTCTTCTGCAGTCAGCAGCCGGCCGCTGGGGTAGCGTACACCCACCCCACTACAGTGGCCAGCTATACTGTGCATCAGGCACCTGTGGCGGCACACACGGTGGCTGCAGCCTACGCCCCTACAGCGGCCACGGTTGCTGTTGCTAGGCCTGCGCCAGTTGCCGTAGCAGCAGCAGCTACTGCTGGCGCTTATGGAGGATACCAGTCAGCCCATGCTGCCACGGATTACGGGTATGCACAGAGACAGCCGGAGGTACCCCCACCACCACCTCCTGTTACCTCACAAAACTACCAGGTAAAAGAATGGAGCAAACTTGCCATTTAAATCGCCTTGAGTCATTCTCATACACTACTGTTCAAAAGCTTGAGGGTCAGCATGATATTTTTTATTTTATAAAATTTTTTTTATTATTACTTTTAGTCAGCAAGGATGCATTAAGCTGATCAAAATAACATGTATAATGTTCCAAAAGAAAAAAAAAATAATGGTCACGGTTTCCACAAAAATATTAAATAGCACAACTGTTTTCAAAATTGATAATAAATGTTTCTTGAGCAGCACCAAATCATGGTCACGGTTTCCACAAAAATATTAAATAGCACAACTGTTTTCAACATTGATAATAAATGTTTCTTGAGCAGCACCAAATCATAATATTAAAATTATTTCTGAAAGATCATGTGACACTGAAGACTGGAGTAATGGCTGCTGAAAATTCAACTTTGCGATTACAGGAATAAAGTACATTTTAAAATGTAATTTAAAATGTTACTATTTTAATGTATTTTTGATAGCATAATTGCAGCTTTGGTAAGCATTAAAGACTTTTTCAAAAACATTATGAAATCATACTGACCTCAAGATTTTGTATATAGGTGTATCTTTCTGTGCTTTTGCATTCTCAATTTGAAGAGAGTCAGATCCATGTCCAATGTTTAAGAAAAGACACAAACCCTCTTGTTTACTGTTGCAGGACTCCTATTCATATGTGCGGTCCACAGCTCCAGCTGTAGCGTATGACAGTAAACAATACTACCAGCAACCTGTGGCAACACCTGCTGTGGCCGCTGCAGCAGCCCAGCCACAACCCACGGTGGCCGAATCCTACTATCAGACAGGTATGCTTGACACATCTTGCCATTTAAATGGGAAGAAATATTCTGCAATAAATGATCAATGCATGTACATTTCCATAAAATTCTCTAGTATTGTTTTTTTTTTTTTTTTACCAAATGTGAAAGGCCTTAGTTAACATTTAATTTAATTTATTTTTATGAAATGTATTTGAATTTTTTTAATTTAAAATAAAATCAAATTAGATTCCTCCCCTTTTCCCTATTCCAGTATTTTGAAGAAATGCAATTTGAGGGCACCGAATTAAATCAGTAATCCTCTTCAGGTCACCCTTTAAATTATCTGTATTGTTCTGTACAACTTTGTTTTACTCCTCCCATTAGCACCTAAAACTGGATACAGCCAAGGCACCACTCCGTACACCCAGACCCAACAAACGCGTCAGGTTACAGCCATAAAGCCAGCCACCCCCAGACCTGCCACCTCAACCTTCTCCATTTACCCAGTGTCCTCTGCTGTACAGCCGGTCGCTGCTGCGGCGGCTGCCTCTGTAGTCCCGTCATACTCTCAGAGTCCCACCTACAGCACCAATGCAGTCACATACTCTGGTAAGAACAACATTTGCAGATTTTCTCAGTTGAATTCTCAAAACGCTGATGTGATATTGTGAAATGCACACTGAGCCCCAGAGACACTAAGCTCTTGTTTAAAGGTAGTTGAGTAGTGTGCTTGAGCAGAATTGGACAGAAGGCAAGTGAAATGTTTTTTCTAGTAATAATACTGAACCAAACCATTGAGCTTGGCATTGCTAGTGTCATGCTCTACCAATTGAGCTACAGGCTTAAAGATTTACACCGATACCATCCACAGAGCCCAGTGTTGTTTCCCAGTCCTCCACCTCCAGTACAGCTACTCCCAATAAAACTGCCAGCTCCAACATCAACAGCTCCACAAGCACATCATCCAACCTCTCTGCTTCCTCTGTTTCTGCCTCTTACTTAAAATCTGGCAGCATGGTCAACAACATGGCAGCTTCAGTTTTACAGGGCAAGAGCCCAGTGCCCAACAGCACCTCTGTCAAGAAGGTCAACACACCCAAGATCAACTTTGTTGGTATGTCTTGCTGAACAAATGTTATTTGTTCTTGGACAGATCCTGTAGAACGTTTTTATTTATTTTAGATTTTTCCTTTTTTAAAATTAGTTTTAATATATAATGTAATAAATAACACAGTACAATAATTGCTTTGATGCATGAACAAAACAGGTGGAAACAAGTTACAAACCACTGCTGTTAAAAATGATGAAGCCAAGATGGAGGCTGCTAAAGCGGCACAGTCCACTGTCTCTGCACCACCAGCGGACCCAAAGAATGAATTGTCTGACCCTCTGTCACCTCAGTCAGCACTTGCAGCCCTGCAGAGTGATGTTCAGCCCGTCGGACACGACTATGTTGAAGAGGTATGAGAAGACTTTATACAGTAAGAAAAAAAAAGTGCCTGCAGTCATTTTCAAGCTGTGTAGCTAAGTGCAAACAATAAAATGCGTTTCAGGTAAGGAATGATGAAGGAAAGGTTATCCGATTCCACTGCAAACTGTGTGAATGCAGTTTCAATGATCCGAATGCCAAAGAAATGCATTTGAAAGGAAGGAGACATCGACTGCAGTATAAGGTTAGTAGGTGATTGTTGTTCACGGTGGTTCTTTTATGATGAATGCACAAAAATCAAGGAGACATCGACTGCAGTATAAGGTTAGTAGGTGATTGTTGTTCACGGTGGTTCTTTTATGATGAATGCAGAAGAATCAAAATCATTGTGCTGTTATGTCAGTGTAGCTGATTGTATTTTCTGCCATTGTAGAAAAAGGTGAACCCAGATCTCCAGGTTGAAGTGAAGCCTAGCATCCGAGCCAGGAAGATCCAAGAGGAAAAGATGAGGAAGCAGATGCAAAAGGAAGAGTATTGGAGAAGACGTGAAGAAGAGGAGCGCTGGAAGATGGAGATGAGGTGTGATGCTTTTTCTCCACCAGTGTATCATTATCTACACATGAGTATTTTGAGGTCCTATATATTGTGATTGTTCTCAGGCGCTATGAAGAGGACATGTATTGGCGACGTATGGAGGAAGATCAGCACCACTGGGATGAAAGGCACAGAATGCCTGATGGAGGTTATCCACAGGGTCCACCTGGACCTCCTGGTCTGCTTGGAGTGAGGCCTGGGATGCCCATTCCTCAACCACAAGGACCAATGGTGAGTCCTGAGAACTACTGCTGTGAAAACACTGTTGAATTTGCCAAAATATGTGATTTGTGTTTGAGGTACACTACCATTTAAAACGTTTGAAACCAGTAAGATATTTATTGAAAAATAAGGGTGCATTACATTGATCAATAGTGAAAGTAGAGACTTGTTAAAAAAAAGAAATTCACTTTCTATTCCTCCTAGAAATCACAATTTGGTTTCCAAAATAATATTTAACAGCACAGCAGTTTTTAACATTGATAATAATAAGAATTGTTTTGAGCACAAAATCAGCATATTGTTGTGACACTGAAAACTGGAATAATGCCTGCTGAAAATGACAGGAATTACATTAATAGCTGCTTTGCCATTACAGGAAATTTTTTTTAGAATATATTAAAATAGAAAAGTTCTTTCTTTTTGTAATATTTCACAACATTGCAGCTTTTACTATATTTTTGATCAAATAAAAGCATCCTTGGTGCGCATGAGAGACTTGGTCGACTAGTTGGCTGCAAGTAAATAAGATATGGTATGTTTTTGGAAAGAATTGACTATGAAGGTCTACACTGATTTGATTTATTTTGAGTTATTAGTAAAGGCTTGTAGGAGATTGCCAAGTCATTACTTAAATGAATTTTGATTGTGTTGTACAACAGTACGGTTGGTTGCTTTGCAATAAAAAAAGGCAAAATTACATGCATTTACAAAAATATGTGAGTTTACTGGAATATCAGTTTTTTTTTCTCCCCCCTGTGATTTATTAGAATTTGTATTGAGAATTGTCAGTTCTCACTTCCATATCAACTGCTGAATAGTTTATCACAACTGGTTCATAACATCTAGTTTTTGTTGCAGCCTCCACGTCGCCCTGATTCCTCAGATGATCGTTATGTGATGACCAAACATGCAGCTATTTACCCTTCTGAGGATGAGCTCCAGGCCATCCAGAAGATTGTATCAATCACTGAGCGAGCACTTAAGCTCGTCTCTGACATCATCACAAACCAAGATGCAAGTGCGAAGGGCAAAGAAGAGGACAAAGAAAAGAAAGAGCCTCCCAAAGACAGGTGAGAGAAGAGTGCACTAATGTTTCTCAAAGCAGAGAGAAAGAAAAGGGCCAAGCAATTCATGATCTCTTGTGCATTGCAGAGTGCTGAAAGGTGTGATGCGTGTAGGCGTTCTTGCCAAAGGGCTGCTTCTGCGAGGAGACACAAATGTCAGCCTGGTCCTCCTTTGTTCTGAGAAGCCAACCAAGAATTTGCTAACGAGCATTGTGGAACATCTCCCCAAACAGCTTACGGTACTGGCTCAATGCAGTGCAAACTGCAATAATATTAGATCATCACACAGATTTTCCTTTTAAATTTTACTTATAATATTTTTAAAATGCTTTTTTCAGCAGTGATGTCCAATCCTGCTCTGGGAGGACTGCTGTCCTGCAGAGTTTAGATCCAACTCTAATAAAACACACCTGAAGCAGCTGGTCAATGTCTTCAGGATGGTTGTAAACTTCCAGACAGGTGTGTTGGGGCAGGTTGGAGCTAAACTCTCCAAGACATTAGCCCTCCAGGAACAGGATTGGACACCACTGCTTTTCTGGGTGTAGAATAACTGCACCGTTTCTTACTGTGGGTCAGGATTTGCTGGATCTCAAGTAGATGGTTGTAACTTTTTCTGCTAACCCGTGTGTTTGTCAGATGGTAACTACGGAGAAATATGAGGTAAAAGGCTCCATCCAAGAGGCTGCCATTATCCTTACCTCCTCCGCTGAGCCCAAGATGCAGGTGACCATCACCCTCACCTCGCCTGTCATCCGAGAGGAAAACACCCAGGATGGAGGTTGGAAAAGAATTGCTCACATTAACCGACTACCTATCAGATTAATATTTCATGCTGATTTTGACAACCTAAAGAGCCCATCTGTTGGCACTGTGGAGATGGTGCTAGAAGTTAACGATACCAGAATTGTTTTTACCTTTTTGACTTGAGAGCATTTATTTTGGGAAAATATGAAAGTGGAACAAATTAAACCTGGTATGTGCTTGAGCTTGGCCGTATATGAGAATTGACCTACACTGTTTTCCTTTTGAAAGTTACACCACTGAGGTAAAGTGCCTCTTTCTATCTTCATTTACACTGAAATTATTTTGTATGAAGTCTGTAATGTGTTCACACTGTAAAAGGGTTGAAGCCAGTTCAAGTGGCTTTAAGTTGCTTTATAGCCGAGTTCAACACTACCAGGTTTTATCCAACCATCTCCGATGGCAGCAGTGGTGCTCCGGGTCTTCTCTTTGTAACACTTCTCCAGTGCTCTTGAAGCTCTCCCTAAAACAAGCATGATAAGTGTTTGCATTGTGTAAGTCTAGTTAGTCCCGGGTAAGATTCATTTTTGTTTCCTGTGTTCAAGGGGATTGTGTCCTATGCAGAACCAAATAATTTTATTCTTTCCCAGGGGGTTATAGAGTTTGGTCAGGGGTATTATGTATTATTCTGTGCAAAAAACCCAAACAAACGTAAACTTAATTCCTGATGAGAAATGGTTGAGTTGGGTCTGACACCTTAGGAGTAGTTGGAATGCCTACCATGTCCCCACAGGAAACAAATCTTATATTTGTCTGGTGGTGAGAAGTTTCACCATTCTGAGGTCCCCTGCTCCAAAATGAAAGTGCTCCCCTGAGAGAAGCAGTCGAATAGAGATTGACAGATGGTGAAATTTGGCATTCAAACAATGCTACTTTTAATTTCTTCAGTTGTAAAAATGCATTAAGCAACAAAAAGCCACATTTCCACAAATAATAGTGTAATCATATCAATAACCCGTTTGTCTTTTTATATCTTTACAACGAAGAGTTTTAGTTGGTAAGAAGCCACTGAAATGGTGGAATCTTAAATACAGGCTTTGCGGCCATGCCACCATTCCTGTTTGGCTCCTTAGGGGAGTATCGGTCAGCTTTTGGGAGGAAGGCTTTGATAGAGGAATCTTTGGTTGGACCTGGGGTTTACAGCCTTCAGTATACATTGAGATATGGGGGTTCTCCAAACCGATAATGACAGGTATGCATGCAGTGATGTCCTAATCCTCTTGCTGGGAGCTTCATATTTTCTTGCCAGCACGCATTGCTGCCTTCATGTGTCCAAAGCTTTTCAAGTCCAGCCCAAAGCCTCCTTGCATTTTCAGCAAATTGTCTCCCATCTGAGGCTACGTCTACCAGCTCCGGAAGGATTTTTGACCAAGGTCCCCCTCCTGAATACCTTCAAACACTTTGCCACACCTACCATTGCCATGCAACTGTAGTGGGTCACTACAAATACTCATTCAACTGTAAACATTGCACATCTCCCTTGATATCAATGTTTTGCATCATCATGATTTATACATCTGGTACCATTTGCAGCCCATCATTATCTTTCCAATGTTTCTGGATCAGTACATTGACTACTTTGTGTTTCAAAGAAATCCTCAAAGTATTTATTACATTTATTATCTCAGACTTCACTTATGTAGACACTGGAATCCACAATTTGTTTTTGCCCTAAGCAAAAGAAAATAATTTTATCCTCAAATGCGAAGTCGGCTGGTTCAGCAGGAATTGTACACTTTGGAAATATATTAAAATTAGATTTGTGTCATAACATTCCACATATCCAACATAGCAAATACTAGAAAACTAGAGCTACTGTTTCTGGATTTTATTAGTTTTGAAAAATACAAATCATTAATTTATTCTAAAGGTTTTTTTTTTTCTACTGCAAGACAACAAGATCATACGTAATTGGCAAAATGGCACAGTTTAAAAGTTTTCTGAACTAATGTGTTTGAATACCTGTGTGATATGATGGATATATATGGATTGTGATAGTATGACTAGTCTGCTGGCTTTTAGCACTGGAAAATCGTATATTGTCGTATTCCAAGCAATTTCAAATGGTGGATTGCAGAGCATTAATGCGACAGGCCGTAACTGATAGTCTTTATCAAGACAAATTAGTAATTACAAGTGTCATGCTCACTATATGCAGAGTACCAAAAAAAATCACGAGTGCATTTCCAACTTAAATTATGAAATCCTACATTACTATGCCATATTCTCAGTATTTTTTTTTTTGTCTTGTATCCCAGACAAAGGCCTTTATTTTTAACTCCGGACTCATTCGTCCCTATCCCATTTCTCTCAGCACCACACGACAGACTAAATAGAAGTGCACCAAATGGCAAGTGTAGCTGTTAAGATCTGAAAGATTCTGCATATAGGGCGAAATGAGAGATGCATATACATTTTGAAAGAGAGCAGTGATCGGGAAAAGACTGGTATGTGTGGCAATGTGTTCTTGGCAGTCTCTCTGACCTGGTCAAACACCCGTTCCTCACCTCCATTTGACAATTCGATCCATTTTTAGATGTAACCTCGAGTATGGTGAAAGACCCAGCGGACGTCTTGGACAGGCAAATATGCCTTGACGCTCTGGCTGCCCTACGCCACGCTAAGTGGTTCCAGGTTCGGAACATCATTTTACTTTCTTCTTGTAGCCTTATGAGATGTATTCCTTTTTATTTGTTCATTTAAGTTGTTTAGTCTTTTTGTTTTTAAATTTTAAACCTCAAAGTTGATGTTTGGGAGGAAAAAGTGATACAGGGATGCAATATATAATTTGGAGATGATGGTACTAATTTTTTTTGCATTCTGTTTTTGTATGTATGAGCTAATCTGATCATAAAAAATTAAGCATCCTTGCATACATGTGATTTATTCATAAGTTTTAGTTTAAATACATAGCATGTAAAATAATTCCATAAGGCTGCAGAATACCTTTGCATAAAGTGTCATCAATAAGAGCTTTCATGTTGAGCGTTTCTTTTTTTGTTTGTTTTTTTTTTTCTTTTCTTTTTTTTTCTCCTTTTATTTTGTTAATGATTTTTTTTCTTGGGGATAGGGATTGAGAGGAAAGGAATATCTGATTAGTTTACTGTGTTGTTGCCATCTCTGCAAATACACAGGCAAAGTAAAGCAGATTTCCTTGACTGCTTCAGTTCCTATGCAACTACTCTTGCAAACTGATCTTTTGTAAAAATGAAAGTATATGTTTGTGAAGTATCTGACAACTGAGGTCAGGGTTTACAAGATTACCAGGGAGCCATTCCAAGTGAATCTTGCAAACTTTTGAACTCTTGTACTAATGGTGAGGTAAAATACTGCTGGAAATGGCAGCTTAAGAAAGCCAATTGACCCAGCTATTTTTAAACCAATTATAAGCTTCCATTGTGAACAGTAGTGTTGTACCTCTTTCTGAACTCCGCCATGTATGACTGTATGTCTTAGCTCTTGTGCATTAACTAATCTTTACTTCACTGCACTGAAGGCTAGGGCTAATGGACTCCAGTCATGTGTGATTGTCATTCGAATACTGCGTGACCTTTGTCAGCGAGTACCAACCTGGTCTGCCTTTCCTAGCTGGGTGAGTAAAAAGACCAGTGACGAGCATATTATATAAAAATGCTAAGTTGCTGTCAAGTCACATTAGATGGCATTAACACGATGCAAAGATCTGCTGTTGACATGAGTAGATTATTACCAAGCAAGGTTTCATGAGCCCGATTTGGACGGTAACTTTTTCTCATGGGGACGTAAACTATTTTCAAAATTTACAGGGGTTAGTCTGTGATTTTTATTGCCGTCTGAATCCAGAATGTCTGTTTTTCTCCCACCATCTACATAAAAATCCTCGGCCAAAATACCTACTGTTTTTTGACAAAAACCAAGGTCGTGTGATAATTTAATTGCAATCTGAATCCACATCTCTAACTTTACAAGAAGAAATCGATTCAAAATTCACCTTTAAATCCCTTTTGACCATTGCCAAACAGTACGGTAACTGTTGCACTTTGCTGTAATTTGCATGCATATTTATTACTGAAATTCTGGATAGTATTTACAAGGACAATATTTCATAACTGCTCCACCACAGCGAGTGGGAGCTGTTAAGAACTAAAAGAAGAACAAGAACAGCATGTAAACATTTGAAATGGGTCAATATTATGGCAGCAACAGGCATGCAATATAATTTAAAAATATGTATTATATATTTATTATATACAATTATATACATAATCCAAGCAGCTTTGTTTACCTTATTTAAATAAGTGGTTGCATTAACTTATTTCTGCTAATCTCTGCGAATTTAATCCATTTCAACTACAGTGCATCTTTTTCTATTTTTAAACGGTAGATTTAAGTAATCAAATAATAAATAGGATATTATTTAATATGAATTTATTCTTATTATTCCCAGCGTATGACATTTTATTTACAGCAGTCGACAATCATGCAACTGGCCACGTGAGCAGTGCGTTCCCGGGTTCGTAGGATCACAGAACTCGCTTCTCTACTATGATTAAATCGCCATACGAATCTATGGTTTTTATCACTGAGGTGCCATGTAAATGTATTTCTACAGACGTTCACATGAGAAACAATTACCGTCTGAATAGGGCTATGGATTGATTTTGTGTTCCCTTAAAAGGCCCACCAGGCACTTTTCATGTTCCTTTCCACTTGGCAGCCATCTTTATAACATCCCTGAGTAGTTGTTTTGTAGTTATACAAGTACAGCTCCTTTCTGTTTTACTCGGGATTAGCTTGTTAAGCTTGCTTTTCAATAACGTCAAATAGCCAATAAAATCTGACAAAAGTATGAGGCTTTTCCTACAGTTGAGTTCCAGATATTTTAGGGCATTTCTTTCTTTTTTTCCTCCACTATTTAATTTTTCTCCTGTCATACTGTCCTTGGAGTAGCTTAATTACTTCTAACTTAAAGTTAGATTCCTTAACACTTGCTATAAAGGTTTTAAAGCACAATCACCATTTCAGTCCTGCTAAAACAATTTCATCATCCTTCAGTCTTGATCTAATAAGTAAACCGTTTAAAATGCCATTATAGCAGCAAGTGTTGTTTGATACTGTAAATTAAGTTACTGTGTGTACTTTAAGGCTATGGAGCTTCTGGTGGAGAAGGCCATCAGCAGTGCCTCTGGACCAATGAGCCCAGGAGATGCTCTGCGAAGAGTCTTTGAATGTATTTCCTCAGGCATTCTGCTGTCTGGTAAGATGGGGCACTCTGATATTGTCTTAATACAATTCTCATAAAATGTCTTGATTCTGAGGTGTCTGTAGACATACTGTAATGTGCATTAGTAATCTAGCTTTTATGTTGGCATAGTAAAAAAAAACTGAATTCCTAAATTTGTCCTTTTTTTTGTAAATGTAAACATTTTAATGGTGTGAATTACTAAGAGTTGTCTTTTTAATTTGCTAACAACTTTTATTGTTGCATAAAAATTAAACTTGAAAATCTATATCTGGGGTCTCCAACCCTGCTCCTGCAGATCCTGCAAAGTTCACGCCTGAAGCTGCTAATCAAGCTATTCAGAGATACTTGATAATGACAGGCAGGTGTGTTTGATTGGGGTTGGAACTGAAGTCTGCAGGGTTGGAAACCCCTGATCTAGATGCTCAATTTAAGGCCCAGTCCACACGAACGCGGTTATTTTTAAAACCGCAGCTTTTTCTACGCGGTTTGGCCGTTCGTCCACACGCAAATGCAGCACCAGGTCACTGAAACCGAACATTTTTGAAAACACCTGCCAGGGTGAAGATTTTCAAAAACTCCGGTTGCAGTGTTATCGTGTAGACAGTGACTCCGGGGTTTTTGGCTTGTGACGTTGAAGCCTGAGCTGTTATCTCCACCTACTGGAGACTTTTTCAGGATTCTGATTGGCCAACATGACTTAACGGTTGAGATTATATTGCCACCTGTTGGTTTGGCATGCTCTTGACAGTGCTTCATAGCATGCATTTGCATTTTCATGTGGACGGTGATTTTTAAAAAAAAAAACGATAGAAGGAAAAACTCTTTTATAAATTTTGGCTTGTGACGTTGAAGCCTGAGCTGTTATCTCCACCTACTGGAGACTTTTTCAGGATTCTGATTGGCCAACATGACTTAACGGTTGAGATTATATTGCCACCTGTTGGTTTGGCATGCTCTTGACAGTGCTTCATAGCATGCATTTGCATTTTCATGTGGACGGTGATTTTTTTTTTAAAAAACGATAGAAGGAAAAACTCTTTTATAAAAATACCCGTGTACGTGTGGACATGGCCTAATACTCTTTTGTGCTTTTCTGTGTAATGCAGGTGCTCCAGGATTGATAGACCCCTGTGAGAAGAATCCAACAGATACACTGGCTACCATGGAAGAGCAGCAGAGAGAGGACATTATGTCAAGTGCTCAGGTAATGTACAGTAACTGCTTGAGGAATGTTTGCAGTGCTTGAAATGTCCTGCAGTGATTCCATTTAAAACTATTTCAAAATGTTTTCAATAATTGCAAAACTATGCATGCCATTTTTATGGCCTCATATTAATCGAGAGAGGTAAATGTAAATTGATTACATTTCTCCTTTCTCCAGTTTGCCTTGAGGCTGCTGGCATTCCGTCAGATTCACAAGGTTCTGGGTATGGATCCCTTGCCCCAGATGAACTCGCGCTTCAACGTACGGAATAACCGCAAGAGGCGTCGCGACAACAGTGACGGGACCGATGGATTCGAAGCTGAAGGGAAGAAGGACAAGAAGGACTACGAGGGGTTCTGAAGTGCACCACAGTACAACTAGCCCTGCTCTCCCTGCACCCGTTTCAAATCCTGTTCATTCCAGGAATACAAAATGTTGTTTCTGTTGACCTCCGTGCATGCTGATTACTACTCATTAATGTTTCTAAGATCTGGTAAAGACCTATTGATGGCCACTTTGGGAAATGCCAGGCTTCATTTCCTTGACACATAGACTGTGGTCCATCTCATTTATTTAGTCTGGTGTCTCGGCATAAAGATTTGAGATGTGCACAAACCAAGAGAAGTTAAGCCTAAAGTTCATGCTCCATTCAGCACATTGGATGTAGTCATTCACCATCTTCAGATTTCTTACGAGTTTCAGACTAGGCATTTGTAGAAGTCTGGGCTGCGTACTTGTGTCAGTATGGAACAGATTCTTTCTTTAAAGTCTATCTTACCCTTCCAGTCACACATGTAAAGTAACTTTGGCAATGGCTTCCTTGGTTTTGCAATAAATAGTTTAGGTGTTTTTGCAACTTATTTTGTTTAGAGACATTCCGCTTAAAACCGCAAGATTGAAGATAAAACGATTAATGCGATGCGTTAGTCCTGTTGTGATGAATGTGACATTGACTGGATGTGGATTTATACAAGCGTGTATTTTCCATTGCTAGTGCATTCTGAAGGCTGGGTTGGCTTTTAACCATTTGTACATTTGTCAATGTCTTTGAAACATCTTCAGATCCTTGTTCCTTCTATATGCTTAATGCAAGTGATGTAAGGCTGCACTTGTCCCAAGTTAGGCTGTAAAGTGTGCTCTGATATTCACAGGCCTCTGTGGTGTAGCTGTATCACATTTCTGAAGACACTGACCATTGAAATCAGACCTGGGCAAAATACCATAAGCATCTATCAATTGTCTCTGTAAATTTCATAAGGAATCTTGAGTTACCAGTCCACTTCACATCAGTTATTCACACAAGGAAGTATTCAAGCAGTAAACATTTGTTCTTTAAGGTCAAAGACATATTTTTTTTTTTCTTTAGAAATGGTAATTGGCCCAGGTCTGCCTGTGTTTTGCGTTCATAATGTTGTAAACCCTAAATGTATCTTTAAATGTGACTGTATGATCTCTAATATACGATCATTTAATAAGCCTGTATCTAATCTTGCAGTAGATCTTCAGAAACATGCCTGTATGGTTTTAAAGAACAGGAATGTGTTCTTTTTTTTATTTTATTTTTTATGTTCTTTGTTTTTATGGATTTTGTTTTACTGATTTATAGATGCATAGTTGCTTGCCCTAATTTTGGTTTCTGCTTCGAGTTTGTTGAATATCTATTGAAGAAGATGGGAGGGACACAAGTAAAATATCTGTTGTAACTGCAGATTGATGTAGACTTACCCTTTGATGCTTGTCATTCGACGTCAAGGTACTCCTACATTACAATGCCTATAATAAAGACATTTCCAGAATGATTTGTCTCCTTTCTTTCTTTCTTTCTTTCTTTCTTTGTATAACTGAAATCAAGTCAGTCAGTAGTTTAATTTAATATTATCAAAGAGTATCTTTTGATATTTCAGTCATAGTGTAATTCACTGATTAAAGGATTCAAGTCCAGTTATTTGTGCATGTTAGTTCTAGATTGCCTCGCAGGTGCTTGATTGTCTTTCCTGTTGTTTATGCTAATGAGGAACTACTTAGACTGTGCACAAATAAGGGAAAACACTAGATGCGCAACCAAAAAGCAAAGAAAATAAACTTCAAAAAGCGCACTTGTAGTCAGTATATAAACGCTTCAGGGCGTAGGCTATTTTCAATACGACTGCTTATTGGTTCGGCAATGAGGAAGCGCATGAGATTGACAGCCGCGCCATCCAATGAGCATTAAGCGACTTGCGCTGACCAGCTCAGAAAACGGGCAGCTCGTCCATAAAGAACCAATGATGTCGAACGGGCGCGGGTTGCTGTCTGAGCAGGTCTGTCTTCCAAGTTCAACCAAAGGAAATCGCGCATGTGAAAGGAGAGGTGGAGAGTGAGAGAGCAGAGAGGGAGAGGAAAGTTGGCTGCTCGAGCTCCCCCGGATTTCCACCTGACTGCTCGGGAAGCGGGATACTGGGACAGGCAAAATGCTGAGTTTGGGCAGCGTAGGAGCGAAGTCTACTAAACCGTCATTCGTGTCTTATGTTACACCCGAGGTAAGCGAAAGCTTTCATGCAACATTGCATTATACTTACGTTGTTTTCAAAAACAACCCGGAGACACTGAATTGTACTAAAACAGGAGTTGAAAGCGCGGACCGTCATGCGCTGGGCGGGGTTGAGACATTGCTGACATTGCTGACATTGTTGACTTTATTCAAGTTTTTTTGGGTACGTTTCGTTCACATGGGGAAATGCATTCACAGAGCAGCAGTGTTTTTTCATTCACTTACACCTCGAAGTTTGACGACTGAATTTTAGTTTTCTGGACTTGCCAAAAAGTAGTTGTGAAGTGTGGTTGTAATCCAGGTTTTTAAATGATTTTATGTTTATTGACACGAGTCACGAGTGTCTTCATTTTGCTCGGACATGTGATGTGTTTGAAATCCATTCATGCATAGGGCGTCCCATTAGAATAGATGTCATGGGTTGTGTCATGACCCATTGATGGCCAATAGAGTTCATGCCTTTATTGTTCATTAAAGGGGTCATATGATGCGATTTCAAGTTTTCCTTTCTCTTTGGAGTGTTACAAGCTGATTGTGCATAGATAAGATCCCTGAAGTTGCAAAGACTAAAGTCTCAAAACCAAAGAGATATTCTTTATCAAAGTTAAGACTCTGCCACGCCCCCCTAAAACGGCGCCCCCACATATCTACCTCACTATGTGGAAATATTTGCATAATGCCGCCCAAATGTGCACGCAAAGAAAGAAGGCGTTAGTGTTACCACAGTTAGTGTTGAAGCAGCCATGTCAGGGAGACGCTGTGTGTTTCTAAGCGAAAGCAAAAGCACTTTATTTGGCCTTCCAGAAGTAGATGCATTTAGGAATCTTTAAGATTACTTACAACAGAACAGCAATGCATTTTATGGACGACCGTTTCGTGAACCTAGGAGAGGTGGTAATTCTGACTTTGGTAAGGGGCGTTACATTTCCGACGAGTGCTGCATGTCAACATATTGTTACACCAAATACACAAAATAATGATTTTTACCCCTTTAAAGAAAGCATGATGGAAAGAATGGTTGTACTCCGTATAGAAACAACGTGAAGATGTAAACCCTCTATTTTCACTGTTTTCCATTTTATTCAAGAAATTAGTGCATAAAAAACATTACAAGACCAAAAAGATCATACAGTAGTAGAAATTTAAAGGAAAACTGTCATTATTACCCTTATGTTGTTCAAAACCTGCATGATTTTCCCTATTCTGTGGAGAAGTTATTTCATTTTGTGTAGCTCTGAACAGTAGAGCATGGCGCTCGCAACACCAAGGTCATGGGTTCGATTCCTATGGAATGTGTGAACCGATGAAATGTATAGCTTGAATGCAAAAGAAGTCACTTTGGATTAAAAAAAATTTTTTTTTTTCTTCAGGACGGTTCATAAATTAAGGTCAATTGCATCAAAAAAGTACTAGTTTTTTTCTAACTACTAGTTAGTCAAACTTAAGACACAGTCTTAACACGGTGTCAATGTTTATGCAACTGGCCACTGGTCTTCTGTGAAGAGTTCAGCTGATTTCCTCTCTGAAGTTCAGAAACAGGGGGCTTAGTCGGATCTCACAGCATTCTCCCCTCATTTTTGTTGGCTTGATATTAATGAAGACCCACTGTGATCCATTTTTATATCTAGCAAAATTAACATAAACGGAAAGACCGTGTGTTTTTAATGTCTCAGGTTTCAAAAGCAAATTTTAAGAGAATGTTTTCTCCCCCAGGATGTCATTAGGGAAAGGAGTGTCTCAAATACTTGGGACTGTTTGTGAAGTTTTGGCTGTTGTGTTTTGCAGCTGACCTCATGGTAGCCAGGATGCTTGGTGGCTTCCTTCCCTTTATTTATCCTGTTTGTTTCAATGGAACTTCTACAGTTTTTACACATTGCCATTCGTTTATTGATTTTGCTGTTTTCTGCAGCCTCTTTTATCTGTTCGAACCAGTAACAAGGGAAGTAGCCTGATTGTTATTTTAAAGATGCAAAGCATGCCTTGTGGATATCACAGGGCTTCTGCTAAAATTCATGGGGCCAGAGACACAGTTATTATGGGTAGAGGATCTTAGTGGGCTGAATTTTGCTGTACAGTGCTGATGTTGTTCAATTTAGTTTTAGTTCTCATTATATTTCTTGTATATTACACTATAATCAAATGTTAAAGGGATTGTTCCACAAAAAATGAAAATTCTGTAATTTACCTATCTGTTGTCATTCCAAACCTGTGACTTTTTTCTTGTCTGTAGAACATAAAGTAAAAGAGGATATTATGAAGATTTCTCAGTGCTTTTTTTTTTCTCCATATAGTGGATGTCACTGGTCACCAAAACTGGTTACCACCATTCTTCAAAATATCTTCTTTCGTGTTAAAAATAATAAAGGAAGTCATACAGGGTTGAAATAACATGAGGATGAGTAATAAATGACAGTGTAGGTTTCTCATACCTACTTATATTCTCATATGTACGATAGCAGCAGTTGGAGTTTTCATTACGGAGCAGATGTCCTGTGGCGGCATCTAGACTTCAAATATTCACTTACTCAGCAGCAGCACACTCAGTGTGTGAAATGTGACATGATGTGTTTGACATTATATTGCTATATAGTACTTGTGAAAATGTCATTTAGTAAGATATTTTATTAGATAATTAATCACGTTTACAGTTTTTACTTTAATTTTATTGCTTCTGTCTTCTTAAGGAAATAAAATTAGAGAAAGAACCACCAAAGATAGAGAAACATCCTGATTTACTGCCAGGTAAATACGAAATCCCTTACACAATGTTTTGCTCTCTCAGGTTTTTCTTTGGCTTATTGTAAGTAAATCTTAAATATTTTTTGTGTGTTACTTGTACCCTGGGTGTAAATTTCAATTCAGACTTTAATAATCGGTCTCTAATTCAGATGGTAGCTTCCAGAGATCTCATTTAATGTAATCAGAGTGATTTTGCAGATACAGACAAGTGGGTAATATACTAAAACACTGTCTGCATTTCTTTAAAGCTCTGCACACCACAAAACTGACCTGGAACAGCAGCCTGGGTTGTTGGCATTGTGTTTATTCAAACTAACATGACTGTTATTCTGTTGCTTCTTAGGTGAAGTGGAGTTCTGTTGCGCCAACCCCATTCTCAAATACACTCAAGATGATCTGTCCCAGCGTGGCATCTTTGGCACATTGTTCTGCACCAATTTTCGTGTTACATTCATTAGTGATGAGAAATCACAGGAGGAGACGGTAAGGATTGGTGACAGGGCTCAACAAACCCTCCTGTTCTGACACAATCTCATGAGAAAGCAGTACTGTAGTATTTTACTAATTTGTACGAATTTGATTCATACAAAAATGTAAAAAAATAAATTAAAAGAAAGTATGAAGGTCCAACCCTAAACCTAACCCTCAGTGGGACGTAAGCAAAGTGTACAAACACTAATGACATCATACGAATTTGCCACCAATTCACAGAAACGTAAAATTGTTACAAATAGTCAAATTGAGAGTTTGTCTGGTAGACCAAAATAATCAACACATGAACACTGTATTCAGCTAAATGGCCATATGTAATGGTAATTGACATCTACAATGCTGTCCCCTAAGAAACCAGCTATAATTTGAAATTCAACCAACCAAAGAACCACAGTGTTTATTTTAAACATCATGTACTTCCTGTATGTAGACTGCAGCGTTTTTGTACATGTAGTGTGGTTGAAAAGAAGATCATGTGTGTTAGATGTTCATACAATGGTAGTCTGTCTTAATAATAATAATGCTATTAATTAGGGTTGTCTATGAATTACATTTTTTTTATTTATTTTTTTATTAAAAGTGTTCTGTTTGAAAAGCTAATTTCTCATTCTGTGGGCATGACTAAATGTGTTAATATTTTAATTTGAACTTGTTTTTATTAGTAATTATGCTAAATGAGCACATTAAATTGACAGCCCTATTATGAATCTAAAATAGTTTTGTAGGATTTATTGTGCTAAACAGCTATGCTTAATTGAAATAGAATAGTGATGCATTTCATGCACATGGAAAAAATTGGACCTGAGTGGTAGATTATAGAGAACATTAATGCCTTGAATTACGGAGTTGAATTACTGCATTGAAAATCAGCATATTTAGGTAAATTACAGTGTACAGGAAGAGTTTGTTGCTTCAAAATAGCAGATCTGTAGTGCTTAATTTATTTTGGCTATAAAATGGCTATGTCGGCTCCTGTATGATAAATAGTTTTTCCTTGTTTGTTAGTCAGGTTTGGATAAACATTTCTTCTTATATAAATAAATAAATAGAAATAGAGTAAATAGAAAAGGTGTGAATACAGTCAATCTTTGTTGACCTTGAAACATTGGGTGTATTAACTAAAAGAGCGTTTGCCAAACTGCATGCTTGGTAATCTTGCATGAGGAACTGTGCTGTGAGTGCTCTCACTTTAGCTGCCATTTCAGGAACTTGAGTGCCTGACTCACTGTCAAAGAAATTCTGGTGGGAAACCAGTGTGTTAGAGCAGCCTCAGATGGTCAGGTATTCATGAAGTGCCAGGTGCTCTTGTTTTCAGGGTATTTTTTTTGGGCTTGTTGAAGTCTGTATACCAAATAAGATCAGTATATAGGCCTAGATGTTACTAATCTAATCAGTGATCTTAAAAAGCTGCAAAACGTGTTGTTGCTGAAAGCTAAATTTGGTCAGATGTCATTGTTAGTTGGTATCAAGAGGTTTCATAGGCTACTTTCAGACTTATATTTGAGGGTGGTTAACAGGAACTGAAGTGTGTTTCACACTTGATTTCACAAACAAATTATTGTGTGAAAGCTTGATACAGCACACTGAACAAGGCAACAGTGTGGCTTTCCTGTTAGTTATGGTGTGCAGTGTAAAAGCACACCTTTCACAGACAACTTGGTATTTGTTAATCACTGTCTTTCATAAGCATTGCTTACTTTGGTGTTGTCTGCCTTGAGAAAGAGGCTGTTGTGTCACTCACCTTTGTTACAGACCAAGACCTTTAAGAACAAACTCTATGGAGAAAATGACATTCCATTAATGTGCGTGGATCACATCTATGGTGGTAATAATTGGTTTGAATTTTTATCATTATTAATGATTATAGATCTGTACATGTGTAAACAATGAGCAACAATTAGATTTTTCTTGGGAAAGCTTTTTGGTTTGAATGTTTGAGTTCTGAGAAACGTTTCGTTTCTTTTGAAGTTTATGATGAAAAGAAAAAACTGATAACAGGAGGCCTTGTGAAGAACAAATATCCATCCAAAATGATCATTCACTGTAAAGACCTACGAGTCTTTCAGTTCTGTCTAACATTCACCAAGGAGGAAGATGCCAAAAAGGTATTTTTTTGACACGAGGACTGAAATGTATATGTACAGTACATTGTAAAGTGGGTTTCACATCTCCTTGTGCTTTTGTTTGCTTGTTCTTTCAGATCTTTCAGGGTATTGCTCACCATTGTTTGGAGGAGAAATCTCTGAAGTGTGTCTTTGCTTTTTCCTATTCAGGGACACCAAGCCCAGGTACAGAGTTATCTTCTTGTAGGGGCTTTCATTGTGTTGTGTTGCTGTTGTTACTTTTCAGTTTCACTTGTTGATGTAAATACAGCTGATGTCAGTTCTATATTCTGTTGTTGATGTGCATATTTAACTGCTTTTGAAATGACATGCCTCCAAATGCAGCAGCAACCAAAACCAGTAATTCACCAAACACATGGAACTGCTTATACAACATAAGGGAAAATATCACCTTGAGAAGTTCATGAAGTCGCACTTAAGCAGAACATGAACTTTGCACACATCTGAAATGCAGCTCTGGTCTTGTAGCACCAACTGCTAAATTCCGATCATAGTCTCTGCAACTGGAATGCAACAGATGTCCTAAAGAACAACAGTCATTATTTCTTTTTAGACATCATAATGTAATTTATTCCTGTGATGCAAAGCAGCAGCCATTACTCAAGTCTTCAGTGTCACATGATCCTTCAGAAATCATTCTAATATGATGATTTGCTTTTTTTTATTATTCTCAATAGTTGTGCTCCTTAATATAATAATGAAGGATAGTTTTACATTTTAAATGCCTTAAACTCTCATTAGTCAACTCTGGAACGACAACAAAAGCCGTTTTTTATGTCTGCAGAAATGCAGAGGAAACGGGAGACAATTCTGTTTGACTCACCAGAGGACTGGACCCAGGAAATGAAACGGACGAGGGCAAACTGTAGACTAGTCACTGAAAACGAGAACTTTGAACTCTCTCAAAGGTACATTATTAGACACTTCACAGCCAACATCAGCAGCATAAAGTGTTACTATTATTTGAATTACAAGGTGCATGTTCAGTAATGGAATGTAATCTCTAATCTATGTTTATATGTGCTACTGACCTAGATTGTTATAAGATCCATCCTACACTGTTTATATTTGGGTAGTTCACAAAAAAACAAACATTATTTTAGGTGATGGAACTACCCACTGTTACATTTTAATCCCCTTTTAGCAGTTAAATAGACCTGAAATATATGCATTTCTAAAAGAACAAATATTCCATGTAGTCTCTGAATTATTATAAGGTAAAATGTATGCATGCATAATAATTATAAAATGGTTGCAAAATGTTTTTTTAAACAGTTTTCAGTGATCTATAGCAAGTCATACATTGTGAAATAAATTTACCTAACAAAAACACTGCTCTGACATTGTCTTTAGATTACCGAAGTACTTTGTCATCCCATCAGCACTAGGGGATTTATTCAGCTACCAAGGAAAGGGATTTCCAGTGAGTAAGAATATTAACCTAATAAGATCTGCATTTAAATCATTTTTATGAATGTTGCTATAATGTTTTTTTTATTGCAAGGTTGGATTTTTTGTACAAATTGTCATTTGTATAGCTGATTGTAATTGACGTTTGATGCCTGTTATTTTTCTTTTTTTAGATTTGGTGTTGGTCTCATCACAGCGGTTGTGCTCTCTTCAAAGCGTCTTTACCGCCTGTGACACAGGAAGATGGGGATTTCCAAAAGCACTTGGACATGTAAAGGAATATTCTGGTTTTTTTTTACTCTGTTTACTATACTGTTTATTTATCCCATGAGATCAGCCAGTCTGCTGCGATACCTTCATGATTATTTGTGCCCTGAGTTTCTGTGTTTTTATGTGCTGACACTCAAGGCCACTGTTCTTTATCAAAGAACAACATGACAGAATGTTATCTAGTAGTGTGCTAGACAATGTCAGCATGAACCAATATACTCTCTTTGTGTTTTTCTGCTCTGTTCAACTGAAGGACAAAAATAGTTATGTAATATGGTGTCCACAGCAAAAACACACAAAAAGTAGTATTGTCTTATCTTGATTGTCAATAGTACCTGTACCTGTCAGTAGTACCTTCACATTGACAAAGTTATTTTATTTTTTTTTTTCAGAATGATAAATGCAGTTGCACATAATTACCTTTACTCCGCAAAAACAGAGGACCTCTCAGAATCACTTCCTACTATCCAAGACATCCAGCAATCATATAACAAGTTCAAACAATTCTTTCTTATCGGTGAGTCACAGAATACAAATGTCTTTCACAAGAAAATGCAAAAAAAAAATATATATATATTATAATATATATATTAAATGAAAGGATGGACGTTTTGTTTGCAATCATGGAATAATGTTTCTTTATTTGTCTATTAGAAAATTCAACAGATTTTTGGTTGTCAGATGTGAAATGGTTCTCTTCCCTTGAAAGTTCAGGATGGCTAGACATTATTAGGTCAGCTTACATTGATAAAATCCTAAATTGTGTGATTTACTATTTGTATTCCTGTTCATAATCATTAGTTAGATTCTATGAAACTATTATCAAACTGCATTTAATGTTCACAACAGACAATGTCTCCAAAAAGCAGTAGAGGTGGTTGAATGTCTTGAAAAGGACAACACAAATGTTCTTATAACAGGTAGGTCAAGCATGTTTCAACTAAATTTGACTTTCCAAAGATTCTGGTGCTCCAACATGTTAGCTTCTGGGTTAACCAATAGTGTGAGTTTGGGATGGGACCACACCTGTTTGTCCATATGTGCTAGGAGTATCTGAGGGAACTGTTCTACTTGGAACCACAAGTGGTGCAGAAACTGCACACCTTATCTTTAAAAATAAAGTACTTTTAAACCTTGATAGATGCATCCCCTGGTGTTTTGTCTTGATATTGATTGATTTGCAGAGGAAGAGGGAACAGATCTGTGCTGTGTGATCTCCAGTCTGGTTCAGATCATGCTGGACCCTTATTACAGAACACTGATGGGTTTCCAGAGTCTGGTGCAGAAGGAGTGGGTGGCTGGTTGCCATGCCTTCCTGGATCGATGTAATCACCTCCATCAGAAAGACAAGGAGGTAATTATTGCATGCTCGTTCCTTCCTGTTGTTTCTTCAGAGGCTTAGTGGAAATGTTACTGTTTTGTATTTGCCCATTTTCGTTATTCTTCACCTCTGAGAATTACAGGCTATTTTGTAGCCAAAAAAGCAACCTGCAAACCTGTCTTTTATCAGGATGTAAAATCATGTCCTGGAACACGTTTGTCTGGAATAATTGATTCTGATTGGTCAGTCGTGGCATTCTGCAGTCAGATATTTTGTATGAAGACTACTGAACTCTACTGTGACTACTCAGTTCAGCTAATCTGCACTACTATCATGTTTTTAATGGCACGCTGCAGTCTCTTTAATAATTTCACTTAAAAGCAATGTCCATTTATTTACCTGTTGGTTAAGTAACCGTGTGATTAAAATGGAGAATACAGTTGCTATCACAAAATAAACCCCTTCAGCATGATTCAAGACCATCTGGGGTTTGTGTGATTTAATGATGACCGACTGATAAGCTGTTCTCATCGTCGTTGTCCTTTTATTTTGATTCTTGTTTCTCAATGTAGTGTCATTCTCCAATCTTCCTCCTGTTCCTGGAGTGCGTGTGGCAGCTTGTTCAGCAGCACAGCCCGGCCTTCCAGTTCTCCGAGACTTACCTGACTGTGCTGTCTGACAGTGTTGATGTGCCAGTCTTTAGCACCTTTCTGTTCAACTCTGCCCATCACAGAGAAAGTGTTATGAAGGTAGAACTCATGTATTTCATTTTATATATTTAATTTAAAACGTATTCGTTGAGGTTGATGTCATTGTGGTGTTTGCACCTTACTGTAGTTAGTTTGTTACACTGTTTTGAAGATTGCTTTGAGTACAGCATTCACCATTCTGCAAGTTAACAGTATTAGAGGCCTCTATAGACGTACAGTGGCTAACAAGAAAACAGTCAGCCCTCTGTAATGCAGTCATACATGTACTCTCCCTGACGCAGTCGGCACGCCTCCCGCTAACTGCCTGTGCTTGATTGTCTTGGCAGGCAGAGTCACCGCTTGCACAAAGCAGCCCATTGAGCTGCCCTACAGTGTGGGACTGGTCTGTGCAGTTTGACAGCAAGGCCCAGAATTTCTTCTTTAACCCCCTGTATTCAGAAAAGGTGAAACATGAGAAAGCTGTACGCAAAGCTCACAAGCCCAAGGTGAGAGGGTGAAATGCTCCTACACTATCTATGTTACATAGTTTAATAATTTAGGGAACGATGTGGAAAAATGCCTCCCTTAAAAATGGTGTTCATTTACTGCTAAATTGTATCATATTTAGAAATTAGTTCAGCATGTATGCATCATGCAATATAGTAATTTGTACATTTAGGTTTTATTGGACAATAAATAAAATGCAGATATATGTGTCATTAAGTCAAATATTCTATATAAATCAATGCATTTTTACAATTACCTGAATAATTGCATAATGACAGATAAATCAAATAACAGAATCACAGTCAGAGAAACATCTGAATTATTCTATAATCTGAATTATTTATAGACCTACAGTATATTGTAATATTTTAAAATATTTATTTAAATATTCCAAATGTTTCATATTAT